TATTGGTTTGATTGTTGTTTAAAGCCGCACTCAGCAATATTCCAGCCACATGGCGGCTGTCTGTAAATAATCGAGTCTGGACCAGACAATCCAGTGATCAACAGCATGAGCATCGATCTGCGCAATTGGGAACCGATGACATATGTCAACCAAGCCAGCGAGCCTGACCACCCGATCCCGTTAGTCGCCTCGTATGGCAAGCATGGGTTACTGAAGGTTCATTCTAACCCCGACCTTCATGGGTGACAAAATGTGGAGCTAAAACAATCCCAATATGAACTATATACTCCTCACAAAAAGTTAAGCAACACAAATTTTTAGTCTCATTACATTTTCATTTATTGAAATTGCAAATCATGGAATGATGCAATAGAAAGGTGAAACATATGTACACACGATTAACAAAATGAAATGAAATGGTATTGAGCAATAATAGACTAACAAATCATCAAAAGCATGTACCCGTGAAACAGTCGTGCAAAATGTGCTGCATTGATGGAGCAAAATGTTAACATTCAAGTTCAAGTCAGTTTTGGGACAGTGAAGCAGTGTTCAGTAACGCGTATGGCCATCATGAGCAGGAATGCAAGCTTCAACACGTCTTTGACCAAATGAGCCTTTAAAGTTGTTGTTGTGGAATGTTCTGCCCTTCTCTCTGTAACACCTGTTCAAGTTCATCCAGAGTCTGGGGGTGAACATGGAGAGTGTAAACACGACTTCCAATAATGTCTCAAGCATATTCAGTGGGATTAAGATCAGGTGACCTTGCAGGCCAGTCTATATGTGTGATGTTGTTGATCTAAACAACATGATTAAAAACTCTTTCTCGGGCATTATCATCCACCGCTTGTTGTACCAGGGGAATGATTACATGTAGGTTTTAACCGATCAGACTGCATGTGTGAAATGTGGAGCACCTTCATGCCACACATTTTGCATGTTGTTTCTGAGGGTGGTTGTGTTCTGGGGATGTTATCAATGTTATCAGATCAGTTTGTTTTCACTGCTAGTGGCAGAGACAGCTGGCAAATACTGATTGCGCGAATAATTGACCGCGCGATGTAGTCTCTGTCAATTCCGCGAAAGGTTAGTACGTTTACAGTATATCTCTGAATATTTCCCTTTCAGCAACATGCCGGCAAAAATCGCTGTCGAGATTGATAAAGATATTACACTGAAAATACTTGTTACTTAATTTTTTGTGAGGAGTATATATGGAAAATCAAATATTGATATATCTGTGTAAATGCTATACTTAAAAACCTATTTTGAGAAGTTATCGAAATTCATTTGCATATGGTGTAGTTAGAGGATGGGATTAAACGTAAATGCTTTGAAAACTGTTTTGATAGCATATATTGCGCGGCGCATGGGATACCATTATATTTGTTGAATCGCACCTGCATGATATGCGCCAACAGGAACGGTCGATTGAGATTGTTAGTGGTATACATGTTAAAGTGAGTGAATGAGTTAAGTTTTACGCCGCTTTTAGCAATATTCCAGCAATATCACGGTAGGGGACACCAGAGATGGGCTTCACACATTGTACCCATGTGGGGAATCGAACCCGGGTCTTCGGCGTAACGAGCGAACGCTTTAACAACTAGGCTACACTATTGCCTCTGCTTGGAATGAACTTGGGTAAACAAAGAAACAACTGACTAACGTCTTGCCTATATAACTGGACGACAGGAGTGAGCTATTAATAGCCTTTCGCATCTGACTGACTGACTGACTGACTGAGTTTGGTTTTACGCCGTTTTTAGCAATATTCCAGCAACATCACGGCGGGGGACACCAGAAATGGGCTTCACACATTATGCCCATGTGGGGATTCGAACCGGGGTCTTCGGCGTGACCTTTCGCATCTTAAGTTGAAACGACAAACACAAACGTATATATCAAATATGACTGGTTCGTATCCCCAGCGCCTCTACATGTTAAAGGCACACATCAAAATGACAAGACCATAAGCATCGGATCGAGGACGAGCCACTGGAGTGTAACAGGTGAAGGCTTCGAACAGCCGTGTTGACTGAACGTTGGGCTGTGTAAGGCAGACAGACGATCCTCAGACTAATAAGACGTGTCAACCAAACTGGCCAGACATCTGATGGTCACAGAACTGGAAGACCGAGAGTGACGACTGTCACCTGCACAGTCTCCATCTGCGCAACTGGATGTTCTCAGTGACGTCTTCAACATCAGCAGCTTTGGGGCTTGTAAGTCGCAATGAAGATGCTTTTCAACATATTCACGTTAGCTGCGTTTGAAAATATTCGATAGTACTAGGCTGGCGTGTACTTTCTTTTGTACATCAGTTTGTATGTAGGGCGTCACCATCGACTGACTCGGCTACATTAATGAGGAACGTGAGGCGTTGAGGTCGCTGGTGGGTGTAAATTAGGGGTGACTATTGAGGTCTAAGGAACTATTGAGATATCGATAGACTATTGCATGCTACTATTGCGATGTCGATAGTCTATTGCAAGCTACTATTGCGATGTCGATAGTCTATTGCACGCTACTATTGCGATGTCGATAGTCTATTGCATGCTACTATTGCGATGTCGATAGTCTATTGTAAGCTACTATTGCGATGTCGATAGTCTATTGCAAGCTACTATTGCGATGTCGAAAGTCTATTGCACGCTACTATTGCGATGTCGATGCACGACTATTGCGATGTCGATAGTCTATTGCACGCTACTATTGCGATGTCGATAGTCTATTGCACGCTACTATTGCGATAACTATTGGGATAGTTCAGACAAAATTCAAATTTCAGATATATTGCCATTTTCTACCAACTTCTTTTACATAAAACTACTTAAACCATAAAATGTGTTCAGTTGTTTATTCATTATAACTTCAGGTCAGTATTTGTCAAGTTGTCATGATCGACTTCTTCATGAACATGAGTTAGTATTAAAACATTCCACAACAAGCCAACACATTCACACAGGATTTAATACTATTTATTACAAAACTGTGGTTTGCAGACTCTTTCATCCCTACAACTTTGTATGTAAAATAACATACAAAATAAAGAATAAATACTGGCTCTGTCACATTTTTTGATAAATGGTCACCTTTCAGTTTCAAATGAAAACACTTACTGTGTGAAAAGGTTGAAAATTAAACAGTTCACAGGTAGATATGTTTTAGTTTTGACAACATGAAGATGAAGAAATATATCCAATGCACTGAACAGTCAACAGACTCAACAGATTTAAAGAAGACAATAATCTGTTGTCACTATGAAAGTATCAAGAAATCTCACAAATAAATCTGTCAGCAGATAAGTTGGTGACTCAAGTTGAAAGATAGGTTAACATAATTGGCAAATTGCAACATTTCACATTAACTCTTATTTTACTCAAATAGTGTGATGAAGGCAGATAATAGTTCATTTTTTATCTTTGTTTCCAATTCTTCTTTAGAAACAAGAGTCTGTTCTACAAGTGCAGATTTAAGAGTCTGCTAGTCCATCCATCAGTTGTGAGTGAAACATTCTCAGCACAGGAAAGGTCATTCCTGACCTCAGTTTTAACAGTCTCATACAACATGGGCAAGGCAAAATCTGAGAAATACTGTCGCGAGGGGATTGTTAATGTGGTTCCAAAACTCCCAACATGTTCCTAAACCCATCATTTTGGACAACACTGAATGGCCGCAAATCTTTCACAAAAAAATCAAGAATGGCTGCCGAAATGTCTCTTGCTCGTTTTGACGACGAAAGTAGAGTAGTGTTGTCATTTAGCACTGTCAGGGTTGTTTGTCTCTTGGTTGGGGCAAGCGCATCAAGACCGTGCCTCCGACGCACATGATCAGTCAAATTGATTGTATTTCCACAATACTTCAATATCAGCTTGCACTTCCGACATGCAACTCGCTTCTTGTCCACTTTATCTGTTTTTACAAACCCAAAGTGTTCCCATAGAGCTGACTTAGCTGACGTATTGTTTACGATTTCAAAATTCGCAAAATCCCCGCTGTCTGCTTGAGCTGCCATTTTGGTAAGGGGGATAACTCTACATCCCCCTTATATCACTGCAAAATGCTGTCGCTTATAGCAAATAGAGATTAATCCCAATCGGGGGTAGGACTGTAGGACAGAACATGTTTTCAAGTTACCGTTATTTATAAAACAAATTAAAGCGATAGTATCGATAGTTGATGCAACTATCGATGCATTGGATCGTCATTTCATACACCTATCGATAAAGTACTATCGGGGGCTCACAATCGCGATCAATCGATAGTTCGATGCATCGTTACACCCTTAGTTTAGATATTATATTATATTGCATTGTATTATATTATGTATGTAATCAACGTAAAATATGATAATACGACACCAATTTTGATATTCAGTTTGGGGTGGATGGGTAGTGGATGTTTAGGTGGGTGTATGTTGAAGGGGCCAAATATCCGTCGACCAATTGACTACCCTTTGCGTGTATGTATTTCAAATACTGTGTCTTTCAGTTACTGATCCAAAATGAAGAACGTAGTTGTCTAAATTCAGTAAAGAGTAAGATCACAATCGAAAAGGAGTTTTGCTATAATATGATACTTAAAATGAATCAAATGTCCTCTGCAAATTATACTTGCCCTTCCTCTGAAGATGACACGTTTTAACAAAATTGCTACAGCAGGTTAGAATGTTCCAGGGGGTTTGTTCTAGAGTGACATATCACTTGAGATTTTAATCATTGTCAGAGGTACGAGACAAGACGAGATAACAACGTGATTAAGGAAGTCGGGGTGCCGGGGTGGCGTAAAACACCGCCCCATTGACATCAAGGTCATGGCGTTATCTGGTCTCTCTTTCATCTTCGTCAGTGACGTCACGGGTGGTGCCAGTTCTTTTAAAATACGCGTAGGTGGAATACGGGTACATATAACCCGACCGGAATATACAGACCCGTTATTCCATAGGCAGGTGAGCGGAATTTAGCCAAAGTTTGTGGTTCTACGTCAGTTATTGAACAATGGCGGTATTGTTTGTGGCCTGCATTGCGCTGTTTGGAGTCGTAGTATCAGGAGATGTATCCTGCGATCTGAAACAAGGGGGGCAAGTCTGGAAGGCGGACCCCCGGGACTGCTCAAAGTTCTATCTGTGTTTTAATGGACAGAAATTCAACTTCAACTGTGGAGCTAATGTGTGGGACCCTACAACCAGAACTTGTGTTCGAGCTGGATCTGAATGGGACAAATGTAAGTAGATTAAAGCACTGATAAATTGTGTTCGGACATTTAATATGAAAATGTTGTGAATAAAGGTTGTGCATTATCTGTGGCCAGAGTCTATCTCTGTTTGCCTACAAACCTTTCACATGCCCGTATAACGTGGTAGATTGTAATCTACATGCTCACTCAATCATACAAATATTTGATTCATATGATTTTAGTTATGTATGAAGCCACGTTCCGTTATGCTATATACTTTCTCTAAAAAAGTAGGGGAACTTCATTTTTAATTCACGATTGAAAATAATTTGGAGATATATCGGGGTCAATCTATGTTAATAATAATGAATGTTTTGCTGCCTGAAATAAATGTTACATGTACAAGAATCAATCAATGAGCACCACCTCGCATCGAATGATGATAGGAATGAAAGGATGGGAAATAGCTTAGATGACCTTCATCCAGGAGGAGTCATCCCAAGGCTGATTAATTCTACAGTAGCCTACACTCGTTATCATTTCTCATATTCAATCAACTTGTTAAACTGAATTGATTACATATTACTTATGCAACCAATGAGATGTTCAATTATTTTCCTTTCTAAAGGTTCCATAAAATCTCAGCTGGAGAATTTGAACCCGTGCAGCGGTCAAAGCGTGGAGCGAGCAGCCAAGGGAGATAACTGTGCACAGTACTATGACTGCTTGTCACATGACTCCACGCTCACCGCAGATCCGTACGTTAAGGAGTGTGAATACCCGATGTTGTATAACGACGAAACCAACAGGTGCGAACACTACTCGCAAGTGAAATGTGGACAAAGGAAAGAGGTCAAAGACCCTTGTAAGCATAAACATTTATTTACTTTGAAAATATACTGACGTACATAAGAAAGTATACACCTGGTGTTTTGGGACTATTCTCATTAAAACCATAAATATTTTGTTAGCAATGTTGTAATTGGGTTCTATGTCTGTGGTGTTTTGGAAACACTTGCACAATGTTTGTGACAAGGCAGAATCAAAAACTTTTTAAATATTAGTGCCGTTTTAAAGAAAATATTTTACCAAAGAATCAGGTGTGTACTTTCGTATGAACGTCAGTTTACGTAACTGAATATTTAATGACACCATGATACCCCTGCGGTGTAACTGGCGGCAACCTATGATTGTTGTCCAAGGCATTGGAGATATTAAACAAACCTCTTTTTCATAGGTATCAAACAAACACATGTTTCATAGGTATCAAACAAACCTCTTTTTCATAGGTATCAAACAAAAACTTGTTTCATAGGTATCAAACAAACACGTTTCATAGGTATCAAACAAACCTCTTTTTCATAGGTATCAAACAAAAACTTGTTTCATAGGTATCAAACGAACACATGTTTCATAGGTATCAAACAAACCTCTTTTTCATAGGTATCAAACAAAAGTCCGTTTCATAATTATCAAACAAACCTCTGTTTCATAGGTATCAAACAATTCTAATTTACTTGAAAATATTGATAGTTTATTTTGTTCTATTCCTGATGGTATTATACGCCGTTCTATAGTAATTGCACTGCATCACAATGGCAAATATGCTGGCGACAACGCTGAAAAGATCCATGTCCTGAATAAGCAGATTCAGTGAGTGAGTGATTGAATTCGGTTTCACGCCGATTCGAACAGTATTCCAGTTATATCAACGTGTCTGCTTAATGTGGGAGGAAATCCCGAAGTGATGCAGGTCTCAAACATTTACCACTTTGGTGACACCCAAGCACAAGTATAATACTGACAAACCTGGGAACAGAATCGGTACGAACAGAGATTCGAACCCACGATCATAGGGTTTTCCCATGCCCAGGGGACACAACTCTGAACAGCAATTGTTACGTCAGAGACAACTTAGCCACTTGTTTTCTAACCCCGCGAATAAGTGCTAAACATTTACCATTTTCGGGATAATTGGAAGTTTCAATTTAAGAGATTTGTTTTAATGGAATTATTTTCAAAATATGCAACGTTTTTATTCCTTCAGGTGAATACGAGGCAAACCAGTGTCCGCTATCTCACTGCATACCATGTAACGTGAGGCATCCAAGCTGTAACGGGCTCCAAGATGGCATGAACCCGTGGGTCGGACGAGAGTGGTCTCCCCTTTTCGTTGTCTGCGAACAAGGTCGAGTTGTCTACAATGGCCAGTGTGACGTCACCCATGCGCCGGTACTCTTTAATCCAGAAAAACGCGCGTGCGAGGTTGTCACGGACGAGCGGGATCTAAAAAAACTCATGTAATAAGCTTAGTGTGACATCGAAACGGATTTGGAGTTAAACTTTATTTTCTAAGGACATGAATGAACGAACCGTCCTTTATAGCGAAGTCCACTACAAGTACTGTTATAATGGTCAAAGTGCCATTACTTTCGGAACATACGAAAGCCGAGTTGGTGTACATCCCTGTGAACCCTGTTTGTCAGTGATTTCTTCCCTGTTTTGTTGTTGAGTGCCTCACGTAGAAATAAATATTTAATAAAAACTACTTTCTGAATGATAATCATTTTATGATACAAAATTAAACTCCAAATATCATCAACGATGATATTTCTTTTAAACCTGTCCGTTTAAAAATCGAACTTTGTAGAGCAATTATATAAGAGAATATTGAAATGTTCGGCAATTCAAAAGTGAGAATCGATTTATGTCTTCAGTGTTGTGATTGTATCAATACAGAAAACAATCAACTATCAATTTGAATTTTTTATTTGTGAAACAAAATTCATGAAATATGGTAGCAATAAATAAATAAATCTATTCTTTGCTTGGTGTTCCTTGTTACTGAATGGTTGTTGCAAAGATGATGTCACATAGCCATTTGGGGGTGTATCTTAAGGAAGGGATGTTTCATGAAAACATTTTCACAGCCAGAAATCATCCAAATAGGAAACGAATATTTCGGCTAGATCACGGCGTACCATCCTTAGTTGCAGGAAGGTCATAACTCACGTCAGTTCTAGATGTTTACTATGTGGATGTTGCCGATAAACCAAAGTTCTGAACCGATGAGTGTCTCAGATAAAAAAATCAGACCAACGGACCATGATTTCATCAGTACCAACGGATCTCATTAGTACTGTGTCTTCGGCACCCGGAAGCTCTGATGATGCTGCATGGTGTTGTCCTAGGGCAACTGGTAGTTCTGATGATGTTGACTGGTGTTGTCCTAGGGCAACTGGTAGTTCTGATGATGTTCATTGGTGTTGTCCTAGGGCAACTGGTAGTTCTGATGATGTTCATTGGTGTTGTCCTAGGGCAACTGGTAGTTCTGATGATGTTGACTGGTGTTGTCCTAGGGCAACTGGTAGTTCTGATGATGTTCATTGGTGTTGTCCTAGGGCAACTGGTAGTTCTGATGATGTTGACTGGTGTTGTCCTAGGGCAACTGGTAGTTCTGCTGATGTCCATTGGTGTTCTCCTAGGGCAACTGGTAGTTCTGATGATGTCCATTGGTGTTGTCCTAGGGCAACTGGTAGTTCTGATGATGTTCATTGGTGTTGTCCTAGGGCAACTGGTAGTTCTGATGATGTTGACTGGTGTTGTCCTAGGGCAACTGGTAGTTCTGATGATGTTGACTGGTGTTGTCCTAGGGCAACTGGTAGTTCTGATGATGTTCATTGGTGTTGTCCTAGGGCAACTGGTAGTTCTGATGATGTTCATTGGTGTTGTCCTAGGGTAACTGGTAGTTCGGATGATGTACACTGGTGTTGTCCTAGGGCAACTGGTAGTTCTGATGATGTTCATTGGTGTTGTCCTAGGGCAACTGGTAGTTCTGATGATGTTGACTAGTCTAGTGGTTAAAGCGTCCGGGTTCGATTCCACACATAGGTACAATGTGTGAAGCCCATTTCTGGTGTCCCTCGCCGTGATATTGCTGGAATATTGCTTGAAGCGGCGTAAAACTAACTTCACTCATTTTCTTGCTTGGAGGAATGCACAGTATGATATAACTGACAACGTACCTGATGTCCTGAAGCAAAACAAATGCAAAGCCATTACACACATTATAACTACCGACAAATTGTGTTATATTTAACAAATATGTGTTGTTGTCGCCTCGAATCTTTTCATTTATCTTAAATATACACGTCATTTGTTGCAGCAAAGATCTTGTGACAAAAACGGTGTGTCTGATTGGTTGTAAGCGACATAACTGACATCCATTTAAATCTCAAAATAGATTCTGAAAGCAACGAAATGATGTCCGAAACATTATTGAGAACAGGGACTGATCCCGTTTACACCCACAATTTGTCAATTTTTACATTACCAATTTACAAACAGTTTCCTAGATTTCCCCCATAGAAATTTTTTTTTATATATAAATTGGCAAACTCTGGTCGTCGGTAAAACAACCTAAACAATTTTTTAGCAGTGTTGTTCAGACTTGCTATTAAAAAATATCAATCAATTAACGACATTTTACATGTAAAGATAAATCAACAAAGCAGTCAGACTGAATACACAAACGTCACCCCGCGGGGTAGACCCACAGGGCCCGTCGGCAGCTGAACTTTTTCGGGTGTGAAGGGCACATGTCACTGCTCTTAAACGGCGTTAACACAGGTCACATCGACCAACACTGGGTTAGTGGATGAGTCAAATCACGACAGTGGATATCTAGATCTGGGATTCAGCATTAAACAACCAACCAAACAAACAAAAACACAAAAAAAAACAAGAAACGTCTGGGGCTTCGAGAAGAGTACTATTTTAGAAAGGGTTCATTAAATTTTTTGTAAATATATATTAACAGTTAAGCAATCAACACCAGATTATATGATATATGGTGAACTGGGAAGATATCCAACAGATATACTTATAAAGGTTGGAATCATATCATATGGGTGCAAACTAATCTCATCAACTGGCACATTGTCTAGTATTTTATATCGGATCATGTTTACAATGAAATCGAATGACCCAAACATATTTTTACCTCTTATCAATGTAGTTAAAACAATTTTGGAATGTTCTGGCTTAAACTATGTATGGATATCTCAAAGTTGTACAAGTAAGATTTGGCTTAAAAGTAACCTTAAGTCTATATTATGTAACCAGTTTTATCAACACTGGAACGAATGTAAATCACATTCTACTAAAGGCCACTAGCTATTATAATATGTTTAAGTTATCTCCATACCCTGAAAGTTATCTATTACACTTTCCATTAAACGTACGCATTTGGCTTACCTTTATTAGAACTTGTAACCATAAACTCCCTATAGAAACAGGTAGATGGTGTAAAGTTAGTAAAGAAGAAAGATTATGTACATTATGTAAGAAGACAATAGGAGATGAACTTCACTTCATGTTATACTGTTCATATTTAAGAAAAGTAAAAAATTCATTTCTACCAAACTATTATTGTAACTATCCATCATTAGATAATTATATCCCTCATGTATTGTACGCATAAAGCACTACTGTTGAAAATAAAAATTATGTGAAATCCGGTCTACGTATGCTCCCATAAAACAAATCTGTACATTTGTATTTGTTCTCTCTATGTCACTATTGTGATCTTCATGAGAATAAACCAAACCTTTGAAAGCTACCTCAACGCCCCTTTTACATTTCAGGACAGCTCTAGACATGGTCGTGAAGGTTTTGTTTGAAACTGTGAGCTTGTGAACTTAGAAAAGGCATTGTTCATTTGTTTTTGTTTGTGTCTGGATAAGAAAATCCAGTGATTAACATCATGAGCATCGATTAATACAAAAAGGAATGAGGACTTCTGTCAGCCGAGTCAACGAGTCTGACCACCTGATTCCGTTAGTCGCGCGCCTCTAACGACAAGCATGTGTTGCTGGTGATTAATTCTAACCCGGATCTAACAGGTCATTTACATATTTATAATCTGTGACATATTTAAATCAAATGCACACAATCTCTTCACCAGGTAGTGTTTTTGTCAACCCAATGTCCCATACATCTATTTGGGTTTGGCGGAAGCAGTGAAAACGTCAGATATGCGTTCCATCATTGTCTCCGTGGTACAAAAATACGGGATGAGTCATGCCAGCAGTCTTAGGGTAAGTAGTATCTGTTCCTGGTCACGTGACAACAACAAAGCGTAGCATGTAGGTGGGGGTCGGATTGGGTCATTTGTCTACCTATCTACCTTCAACTTTGTCATCATCAACCGTGTTGAGGGGATTAGCCCATGTGGCTAAACCTGGTCCGTAATTTGTTGACCTGTTGAACTCCCTGGACACGCGCACCGGCTTGTATGATGTCGCGGATGATGTAGCGGCGGTGTTCCAACTGTCACCGGATCGCAAAACAAGGTTCCTCTCGGTCTACTGACGACAGCCCATTTATATTCTAGGGAGACCCGCGCATCACTTTATTTGCTTTAGCACGGTCGGAAATTAATGTGGTTCAGGGACTGTGAGACAGACTAGGCTCAACCCACATCGGCACAGTTCGGAATCTGGACATCATTAGGGAATGATGTCCCTACATGTTAATTTACGTAGATTCTAATCGCATTCTTTCAACATGCATTGTTTCGATATAAGTTATCTCATATATATCTGTAAACGTATCCATGCATTAAAGACGGTTTAGTGACTATTAGTTTCAGGCAGTAGCGAGGTCATCTAGTTCTGTGTCAATATTACCAGGGGAGACTATCTAGTTCTGTCTCGATATTTCTCATGTATTTATAGTCATTCTTGTCGCCTTACGAATTTTACATATCTGATTGTAAATCTTAGTTGGTACATTGGGGGAGCTTATATTCAGCTTTTTATTTAGTTATATACAATACATTTGTAGAGCGCCTAATATCCATCTGAAAGGTGCTCAGAGGCGCTAAGACATTATTACATTATCCCGGTTAACACAAACTCTCTGTTGGGCGCTAGACGTTTAACAGCCATATGACCATCTTATGACACCGTGACCGCCTCAGTGGTGTAGTGGTTAGAGCGTCCGCCCGGAGAGCGGAAGGTCGCGGGTTCGATCCCCGGCCGCGTCATACCAAAAGACGTTAAAATATGGTACTTGTTGGTCCCTGCCTGGCGCTCGGCATTAATTTGTACAACAAGGACTGGTCGGCTCGGAGTCAGTATAATGTGTCTGAGTGGGGTATTCATGCTTCACTGCGGCATGGTATCTCAGTGGGCTAGCACTATAAAACCCGCTTAAGTCTGGGCTAGTACAAGCAGCCGCACATACACACACACACACGCATGCACGTCGTCATATGAGCGAAATATTCTCAAGCACGCCGTTAAACCCAATTTCACCTCACCTCACCTATGACACCGTATACCCATTCACTGCGGGGTGAACAGAATCAGCGTTAAACAAACTCACGTGCCTATTTTTTTATAAGGTGAGATCACATGTTCCTCGTGTGCTTCACTAAGGTTCAGGACTTCACTGAAGTCTGAGAAACTCTCAGGAGTCAAGCTGCCAAACACGGTCACTCACCCAATGATTCCTGTGACCTACGTTGCTTAACGTCAACTGATTTGTGACCTGAGCTCAATGCACAGGACCACACACCACCATGGTTACCCGCATCTCCACTGTTGGTTTAACAGTTAGTGTACTGCTCGTGTTTTCCATAGTTTAGAAACCACAAAGCTGTTTAAACCTTGGGGCATTTAGGGGACCCAGCTGGGTAGTGCATGCTGCTTTCTCTGACGTCCGTGTGCCGGAAGTGAAAACCATGGCACTCTCAAAGGTAACTATGACCGGGCATAGTTACCGCTACCGGGTGATCAGGTCGAAAATCTCCCCAGTAAGTATTTA